AAGGCTTTTTTCTGCTTTCTTTTAGTCACTGTTCCCACTAACACTCACAGCAACTCCTGGCATAAAGAAACTCATCCTGCTGCTTCAGTGCAGTTAGAAGGCTGGTGGCCTCAAAGAGGGCTAGCTTTTGGGCTTGTTTGTGTGGCTAATAACTTGCTGTGTGAGGAAACTTCAGGATAGGAACATGAAGAGACTGGCATAGCACACACCCCAATATCAGGAGGCAGCCTTCCTCTGAGGCCAGCTTGATTGTCATGTCCACAGTTGGAAAATGTAAAGAAAGGCTAAGCAACAGCTTCCAAAGGACAAAAAAAAAAAAATGCAACCTGCAGAATGTCTTTTCTAAATTCCAGGACAGATAGTTGAAATGCTCACCAGTCAACCAACATAGAACCTGAGTGAGGAGGGGAGAGGAAGAGAAGAACAGCAAAGGGGAAGATTAAAACGGGAGAATTGTTTTTCCGTATTCCTTGCAGTCGCATGACCTGTGTGTAGCGTCAGCTCAAACATGTGTGCCCAGGTTTACATTGCACATTGACTTATGTAGGCCACACATATTTAAGTCTGGTGTTTATCCTCATTGGGTGTTTAGCTCCCAATGAGATCCTGAACTTGACCCATGTATTCTGGAATTCATGTTCTTCACAGAGAGCAGTGAAAGTTAGGAAAATCTAGAATCTCATCCTAGTTCTAGCATGGTGGTGGTGGGAGGGGGAGTAACTGTTGCATCAGAAAGCACTTGATGTTTTCCAATCAATAATGTAGTATGGTTGCTGCAAAGCCTAACCAAAGGTTCTCCCAGCTCATCCATTGTAGTGTTTCTTGAACAGAACCACTAAGCCCCCCTAAGGAAGCAGGAACAAGCCATGTATATTTGCTGTGCCTCTTTTCCATGGGAATCCCGGGCAGAGGGTTTCTAGGTAGGATTCCATCAGTCCACTCACATCCCCATTTTACCTCTAAGACAACTGAAGCTGCAAGTTGGAGCAACTTATCCCTGACACCAATGTTGTGAGGAAAAGCCCAGAACCAAAACCTAGACCTTTCATCTTCTTTCCTTCATGTTGTTGCTATTCTAAAATACCAAATAATAATCAGACTAGATTTGGAAGCATAGGATTGGATTCCCAGCAGAGTCTGCAAGGTGTATTGATTATAACTGCTGGAGACATCTCAGTGGAGTATTAATAGCTCATGAAATTTGTATGTAAAATAGTAGGGGTAGTTTGCGAAGGATGCTCAAATACAGCCAGCATAGCAGCTGTAGTCCCAGCAATTGGCAAGTAGGCAGGAGGGTGGTGAATTCTTGGCCAAGCTAGGCTACATAGTAAGACCTCACTAAAAGAGACCAGGGTGGAATACAAATACAAAATGGGTTTCTGCTTAATAATCTGAAAGTTCTCTGAGTTGAGTGATCAAGGAGAAAACTGCTACTTTGAAAGTATTTTTATTATATTAGTGAGATAGTCATTCAAAACAGAATTAGAAGTTTTTTGTCTGTTGGAGTACTTTTAAGAGAGCAAAGAGCAATGCCTAGTATGAAAATGGGTGTCAGATTTATGGCTCATTGCCTCATCAGCCACATGCATATTCCTGAGGAGGGTCTTACTGTCACTTTGATGTCTACTGTTAATGTTTTGGGGTTTTCTTAAGCTCTGAGGATAGTAAGTGTCAGACAATATTGCTCCAATTCACCCCTTCTCGTAGTTCTAATACATTTAGTATTGGATCTGATCCTCAGGGTAAAGTGTTTATTGTATCTGAACATAAGTTCATTGCCCACCTAAAAGCTAGACACAGCAGCATGTCTGTAATCAAGTATATGATGGGGACACAGAGACAAACAGATCTGAGGGTTCACTGGCCAGCCAGTGTGGCCAAAGTAGCAAGTTTTAGGTCTCAAAAAATAATATTAATAGCAATTGAGACATTTGACAAGATCTCTGTTCTCCACACATAGGTTCGTGTACTCTCATACATGCATGTTCCATCACATACCCATGTACACAGCTACAGGTATGCATACTTACACCACACACAAATAAATAAACAAACCATGACTGTATTTTTGCTCAGGCATTCATGGTTCTTGACTGTTCAAAGAACTGTCCAAGCTGGAGTCATATTTACTTTTTCTTTGTCATGGTGTTTAACATGCTCTGGCTTGGCCCCAGGTAAGTTGCATTTGATGTCTCTTAGTTTTGAACCCAACCCCTAAAAGATGTTTGTCTAAATGACAACACACAGTTTAATGCCAATTAACACCTCCGAGAGGGAAGTGGAGAGTGTGTGTAACTTGTGACGGTCTACGACCAACCTGAATGGCAAGACTGGGAACCTTCTGTGAAGGATCATATTCTCCTTTGGTATCCAATTATGGAAGCACTTTCGGTTCTCTCAAGAGTCAGACCATAAACATTCACAGAGTGGGAGAATCCCAAAACTTGATGATTGCCCCCTGTGAGTGCAGGGCTGAACCTCCTCCTAAGAGCCCAGATCTCTTAGTCATGACAGGGACCAGCCTCTTGACAGTTGAATGGTGTCACCCAGGATGCGGCTGATGGACAGCCACCTGGGATCTGTGTGCAGCAGTCCTTCTGTAGATTTGATTGTGAGTTTGATTAACAAGGTTACTTTCCAGATAAGTCTTCCATGGAGAATCTAGCAAAGGGAGCACACATTTCTGTGTTGTTCACCGTTGTTCCATGCTCTGTATGGGGATGTGTTGGACACAGTGGGATCTTTCAGGAAACAGCAGGGTGATACTAGGCAGAGTGTGACAGGTCTTTAGAGGGATGTGTCTGCTCTAACCCAGGCCCACAGCAGACTGTACTGAAAGGGGGGAGGCATGAATTGAACGTTGACAGTGGGCCACAGCAGTCTGAAGGCTCAGGTGGTTGTCAGCCATAAGTTTAGCTCAGCTCTTTGAGTAATTTGTCACGCCTGGCTCAGCCCCTGCTGGGCCAGCACGTGCCAGCTTAGTGTGAGAGGGCCTGTTCGCCAGACGGCCTCTCAGGCCTAACGTCCTGCTGTTCCCCGGACCAGCGGCTCGCTGGGGCCATACACGGAGGGCCGCTCTGCAGTGACAGCCAAGTGCTGTGCAGAATGAGCATGCTCATAATGAGACATGAATGGCATTAGTGGGTCCCTCTAGAATTGGGCCTGAGCAGGCGCCTCTCGCTGAGGAAGTTTGGCAGCCTGTTCATTAAGGCAAGTCACCAGGAGTTCAGCCCACAGCCCAGGAGCCAGCTCTGGAGCATGCTGCCCAGGCCTGAGGCTGTTGTGACCATCCATAGAAACAATCATAAATCTTCAGAGGGGCCACTTGTGAAAGTTTCCAATACATTTTCTTCATTTTTTTAAGGAATTGTGTAGAGCAAGCTTAAAGGGAAATTCTAGCATGAAGGAGACACCAATATTACTTTCTATAGTTATGTATAGGTCCTATATTTGCCATTGGGCTTAGCAACTCCCAGCTCTTGTGACTTGAAATGTATGGAGTGAGGCAGGGAAGGATAGTTGTTCCTTTTGCATTTCAGTTAATGACCATTTCGATTTTGGTAGTCACCTGTGGCTATCAGGTGATGCAGCACTGCTCCAGAATGACTCTGGTCCCCTCACGTGGTGCCACCATTCCCTGAAGATTTAAAGGAGTGAGGAGTGGCCTACATCTAACAATCAGTGTCAAGACCTTACCAAAGGAAAATAGAGGAGTGTCTCTAGTTTTAAAACAAGATGTAGAGAAGCTGCTTGGAAGGGCATAATTGTTCCCAGCCTATATTTTCCAAGTGGACATCTTGAGAAGATAGTTTTAAGATATACGGAATGTTAGCGAGATATACAGAATCATGTTTCTTCTTTGCAACCCCAGATAACTAGCCAGTGCGAATCCACATTCCCTGGGTTTTGTGTTCATGAAGAAATGGCACAATTTTCAAAACACATCCTTTAACTTTTGTATCAGTAATGAGGAAGGGGAAAATGAGACATCATGCCAGCTTTCCCGAGTGCTAATTCCTAAAGTTCTGTGTGCAGCGCCTCCATCTATTGTCAGATCATTCTGATGTTTCCTGTTATTGGAAGTGCATGATTCACCTTCAGAGGAAACAGAGGCGTACACAAAGGGGAAGATTTGCTTTCTGCCCTGTGAAAGGCTGCCACACGCAGGGGTCCTATTAAGACAGCTGGAAAGTTGCTTCTGCGTGTTACGCTTGTAAGTTTTATTGGTGACTGGTTTTTGATTACACATTTGAATGTTGTGTGTTCCAGGCTACAGCTTTAATTAGAAGGCAGTGCTCGCTCTCTCTCTCTCTCTCTCTCTCTGTCTCTCTCTCTCTCTCTCTCTCTCTCTCTCTCTCTCTCCTCTCATTTTTTATTTTATTTTATTCTTGCAGTTTCACTGTATGCCATTTGCTACATCCTCCATATCCACTCTTACTTTCTAATGCTCATCACTTAGTCTGGTCAGAGACTCTGTAACCCTTGCAGAATATAACTCCTGGCCTTCTCTTTCCAATAACTTATGTTTCCTTACTTTTGTTGAAAACGTTCATCACCATATAACCAGCTCTTACTTTAAGTATCAGTTCCCTGTGTTGTTAGATTGAGAATTGTCATTGGCCAAGATCTGGAGTGAAGATAAAGGCTGCCACACCATGCCTTTGCAGTGTTGTCACAATAACCCACCTCTCTTGTTTAAGTCAGCCTTAGAGATAGATAATACAGTGCTTTGATATAATCCTGTCACATTTGGTGCACATATTTTTAAATGATATTACTGTTGTATATAATTGAAGCCCGAAAAAAACTAGGCCATAAAACTAGCATCTCACTATTATGTGTGACAAATATCTAACTTTCTGGCAAAAAGCTAAAGAGTTTCCAAGATGTGTTTCACACAGGACTGGGAAAGCCTAGTAACTAACTGCATTTAGAATAAATTGCCCGTCTCTCCATGTGCCGTTTGCACGTGCGTTTGTCTCCTTAACCAATTACTGCAGCTACGAAGAGCGAGCTCTGTATCTGGAAGCAATAATTCAGAACCACCGGGAAGTCATGACATTTGAGGATTTCGCAGCTCAAGTCTTTTCTCCCTCTCCCAGCTACTCTCTCAGTGGAACTGGTGAGTGTCTACATTATTCTCCTCCCTCCCGCTTAAGATGCATTTGAGTAGCAGATGTACACCTGTTTTGCACAGATAAATGCTTGCAAATTTAAGAAGAACATTCACCCTCTGAATCAACTAATGAATTTCAAAAGGAATGATGACATTCATTTTAATTTGTTTTGTATCCGAGCTGTTCGCTGTGTTCCTTTCTTCAGCTATCCTGTTAACCCTCGAATCTAGCAAGGTTAATGAACTTTTTCTCAATAATGTGCTCCGGTTCATTCAGGAGTGTGGGTTTCTTGCTGAGCTGGGAATATGTTGTTTAAAAGCGATGCCCAAATCACTGCATACTTATCAAAAAAAAAAAAAGAGTTCTCACAGTTGAAGCCGTTGCTACTAATGCTAAATGGGGATTATGCTGCTGAGATACGAGGGTCAGGGATTAATGCCTGAGACATGGAAGGACAGTGTCCCCAGGCCCATCATTACAGAGTGCCGCGTGCACGCTGCTCTCTGGAGTGGTTGGTGTCATGCAGACTAGCCACCAACCAGAGCAGCACCTGGTGTGGGGCCTTTACAAAGTAGCTTATAATGGTTTTCATTTAGTAGGCCGGTGGAATTGCAGAACTTTCCATGGATTTCCTTGTTTTCAGACGTGTACTATCTTTATACAATATTGTCAATTTGAAGAAATATGTGCTGCCACTTAAATTGTTGATATGATTATTACAATTTTTTAGTCAAAGAGTAAAATTATTACTTGTAAATTTCTGCATGTTGTTACAGATTAATTGCCTGTCAGAGTAAGTGTGATATTTAGTCTCTGCATGTTGAAATTCTCAATGAGGGACTTCCTTCACCTTCCCTGGTTCAGCATAGCTCTAAGGATGCTTAATAGATTTCTAGCCCATGCTAATTGCTTCTGAACACAGCCTTGCTTCTCCTGTGCTGACTTGTTAACAAATATCTTACACACAAAGTGAAAAAATCAAATTCAGTGAAATAAATCACTTACAAATAAAATCAGCCATGCGTCATTGTTTAACATCGCTGGCTCCAGTCCGTGCCTCTTGGAGCTTTGTTGGGAGATAAGAGAGAGAGAGGCAGGCACTTGCATGGGGAGCCAGGAGCAGCAGGCAGAAGGCTTGGGAGATAAGCAAGCTGGCCGAGGTGCGGAGCTCCATTTACATAATCACGCCTCTGCTTCCTGGTGAGGCGAGAGAAACACAGGGATGGCCTCTATTGATCTTTGTTGAACTGGGGTACTGAGCAACATGAGAAAAAGCTTATAACTTAAAGCTTTGATTAATGTTTCTTACATTAGAAAAGTAGAACAGCTGTGAATTGAATTCTTTTATACACTCTGCCAGCATTCTATCTAAGACAAAAAAAAAATCTGTTTCAAGGGAAATAAAGATTTCATACCCAGTCTGGCTAGAGGTTTAAAATTGTGTCTAATTTTTCGGTGAAAGAATATGAGGACTGCATGGCAAGCTAACGCTTCAGAGCTCCGTGCAGCCTCTTCTCATCCTTTGCAGACACTGGGACTTGGATTTTCAGTACAGGATTTTGTTTTTGTTTTTAACTTTTAAGAAAACAGTCCATTTTTTAAAAAATAAAAGAAAAATATGAAATAATAACTGTTTAAATTTCTTAACCTTTATTTCTAAGGTTAATGATTATTGATGTTAGTGAAACAATGATAGGTGTTATTTTCTATGTGTATTTTACCCTCTGCATAAACAAGGTTCACAATCATTCAAACCAGTGTAGATTCGGTTCCTAGGTAACAGCTTAAGTGAGACTGTAGGAGCATTTGGGTTTGTGTGACCATTTGGGTTACTACTAATGCTAAGTGGGGATTGTTAATAGGGTTGTTAGTAGGGGTTTTGGAGAATGTCCTTTAAAAAACTACTTAATAAAAATTCTGACAGCTTGTCAGGGCAGGTATTTATTAGAACTTTTATACATGGAACAAGAAACCAGATGTAGACACCAACACAAATGTGGCTCGTCCTTCTTTCAAATCAGCATCAGCCTCACACTTCATGGAGTTCACCGCTCTGTCTGCCTTCACAGTAATTAAGAAAGAACTAGAAATAAAATCTATTTGCACTAAAATGTGGGGGCAGCACAGTGAGAATGGGGTTCATCAGCCCAACACACAGGTACCTTCTCAGGGCTGTATTCTTCCTGGCTTATGTGCAGACTTCACTTCCACAGAATCCCTACACTTTTCACTTATTCACAATGGTGTTCATTTCCTTGGGACAAGCAAAGTCAAACCCAGTTGAGCTCAGCTCAGCTAAATTACACTCAGAGACTGAGGTGAAGCCTTCCAAGCAACAAAACAACTGGAAAAAAACTGACCCTGAGCTGCTTAAGCTCCCACAGTGCACACAGGGCCATCAATGTCATCAAAGCAGGGCCTTAGGCCCCTTACATACATATGCACAGATTGTCCTTGACTTTGTATCCTCCCAACAAGGGGCTGTATCTTTCATGAAGACACCTGAACTATTCAGTATAGCACATCCAGAAGGCAGCATATAGGCCCACCTCCAGAGAGAAGGAAATATGCCAGGTGAGCCGGGCCAGAAACACTGCTAATAGGAAATGTCTGTGCTTCCCACACACCCTCACCATGGAGCCTTGGGGGCCAGAGTGCCCAAATGTGTGTACTTCTGCAGTGATTCACCATGAGCTCTGAATGGGGCACAGACCTAATATGTAAGTTCAGCTTCTGTCAAGGACTTTTGAAAGAGGATTCATTTCCCAATTGGAAATGCTTTGTCAAAGCAGCCCCTTGTGTCTGTTGCCTCTATTGATTAAAATAATAATAATCTGTATAAAAGATATTTAGATGGCCTTCTCACCTAGCCTTCCGTGATTTGCTTTGTGATCCCTTCCCTTATTGGCAAGCAATAAATAATCTAAAAGATAGCCAATATTAACATCTACATGATTTATACATGCATATTTGTATTCATTTAACCCACACAGCTATGGGAATACAGGACCAAGTTTGTGTTTTAAGTTATCAAGGAAGGGGGCCAGCAGGGAGGCCTGTAAAGGGTTAACTGGAATGGGCACCCTCGAGTGCTGGGGAGGGACTGATGTAATCACTGCAGCTCACAGCCAAGTGCATCTGTTCACCATGAGGTCATTCTTCTGCATGCTAATGACTTGGAGAATCCAGTCTGATGTTTGACATTATCCAAAGGGATATAGTGTAAATCTTTACCTTTGGGAACTGCTCTTACTGAACGAAAAGGGGCAAAGAAACTTATTGAACTTTCAAGGGGGTTTCTTTGTTACTATTTTGTTGTTGTTATTTGTTTGATTTTGGTTGTTGTTTTGGGGGGTTGGTTGTTATTCTGGTTTTTTTGTTTGTTTGTTTGGTTGATTGTTTTGGTTTGATTTTTTTTCCCCTGGACCTGCTCTAAAGATTGTGTCTGAAACTTAAAAATCTTGGAGGAATCCACTTGTGTCTATTGATAAATGAATCCCAAAATAACTATTGTAGTCACAGCTAGCAATTTGGCAATTGACATATAGTAGGTATATATCCTGTAATATCTAACTTTCAGAATTGGTACCTTGGTCAGAAGTTGGTAAAAGTATGTTTTTATTCTGAGAAATGTCTAAAACCAAGTTCAAGGAGATTGTTCTCAGTATCTCTGGATTGCCTGGTGTTTGCTTGAGATGCCAACACTGTTTATGGCTCCTGCCCACTTCAATATTGCTATGAAGGGCCAGCAGAGGGAGCACAGGTCTTTATTTGTTAGCCTCAAAAACACAGCCCTTGATTTCTCCAGGACAGGGTCAGCAGTACTTCCTCCATCATGACAGGTAGGGTTATAAAGGCTCCAGGATATAAAGCAAGTGGAGAAAATGTGTCACCCAAATTTTAGCCCACTATCTTCTACGTGAATGTAGGTCATATTTGGGGCTTAAACCAGATTAGTCTGGGCCATTCTTAAGATGTTTCCACAATCCAAAGCTGCAAACTTTCCTTTCTCAGATGTGTGCCTGGTTGGCCTCTTGGAAAGGAATATTGTGTTCATCTGTCTCATATAATAGACTTTTGTCACTCTTTTCTTATAATTTAGACATTACACTTGAAGACTCTTACCTGGTGCATCAGGACAACTTGATGGCAGCCAATGAAATGAACTCACAAAGCTGCAGACAGCACATCCTGTCACACCTGGGACTCTGGCATATAGATGCACTAGTTCTGTAGGTCCCTGGCCTGTGCCCCGAGGGGTGAAGCTCTATCAGCTTCTATGCATGTGTGCTCACTATACCAGCATCTTACAGACTTGTCATTCTGCATATAGATCCTGGAAGGAATATTTTACTGGCAGTTAACAATCAAGTTAGCCTGAAGAAACAGACTGGTAAACCCCAACCCTGATCCAACAAGCTTTTCGTGTTGATTGAAAGGGTAATTCCCCATGTATATCCATTCAGTCAGTATTCATTCTTTTTCTCCTCCTTTCCTCTAGCCCTGTTAAAATGGTCTCAGTAAGCCTTAGATTGGTAGCACAGCTTGTGCTTCTTACGTATTTAGCTTTATCATAGCTTAGGGAAACCAGCAAAGAGCATCATAGAATGTGAAGGTAGAGGGGACTTCAGGGAATATCAGGTCTAGTCTCTCCTTAATAGCTTTGACTAAGCAGAAGCATAAATCAAAAATGAACAATCAAAGTTTGCAGACAAGTTGGACAACAAAGCCCTCACCTCGCATTACACAAATGGACATGTCATCCCAGTCCCTACCCTGTGCTGATGATCCCATGAGTCGAGCAGTAGTGGTTTGTTGTTGATATTAAAGCCCAGAATTAAATTTGAGAATTACAAATAGAGAAACAGAAATTTTTCTTAAATACAAATTCTCTTATGATATTGTCTACTCAAGAGCTCAAAACCAACCCAACTTACACCCTGAGCACACTTGGCTGTCCCTGGCCAAAATGTTGCCATGTGTCCTACAGATAGATAACTACCCT